TATTAAATAAAAACTAAGCAAACGTGTATTATACGTTGCTTGCACCTAGTATTCAATTAAATGTGAAATTGTGTAATTCATTTAATGAAATCTATAATTTAATGACATTAATGTTGTCATCTAAACTGGTGTTAAATATTCTAAATAACATTATTCAGAAAATAACAAGATGGATAATGGTGTTAAATGGTGCGAGTCAAGCCGAGCCATTAACTCAACTATCGTTGGACTTGACGGCAAGCCGACTTCCTCAATTGAAGTGCGACTCGCTAATTTATTTATTTTTACCGAAACTAATATATTTTATTCACTATGATGAGTGGGTGAGTCGGCTCGACTTAACACCACTAGGCCCTAAGGATAAATGAGTTGCTTTGGCAATTGGTGACTGCTATGAAGAGTTGTACTCTGTAATAATCAAGACATGTTCAAGATTTTTAAATTAGATAAATGACAAATGGGATTAACGGCTATAATCCCTCTTGCATTGAGCCGTTTATTGGAAATCTTTTTGGAAAGTGATAGGAAGGGACACAAAAGACAAGTGGGCAAACGTTCAATGATCTTGACTTTTTCATTGTTTTTAAGGATAACTGTACCAGAGATTTCAAATCTTTTATTTTTTGCAGATTTTATCTGAACTTTTATTTTGTGTCATTCACAATTTCAAACATTTTATTTTGTTGCAGCACAAGGACAAATAGATGAATTCCATTCATTTGACCATTGGTTGCAAAAAAAAAAAAATATTTTGATCAAGTATAAAAAGGACAAAATGATAACTTTACAATTTAACATAAAATATTTAAAAGAATAGAGAAAAGAAATAAGGAGCATAAACTTTTATATCCCCACCCCCTATACCAAACCAAATCAATCCACCCCATCCACATCGTCGTTGTCGTAGTCCACAGCTGCCGCCACTCGTAGTTGTCACCTTTTCCCATCCATTTCGAAGGGACGGAGCCCATTAAAGATTAGTGCATGCACATGCTTGCACTGAACTTTTGGGCCCAACCCAATTTTTTTAGGGAAAAATTCATATATAAGAGATTAAATATGACACATTTCAAAATTAAGAAACTAAAGTTTAAAATTTAAAATTTCAGATTTTTTTAAAAAATTTATTTATAAAATAATTATTTAAATATATTAAAGTCACAATTCTATACAATTTGGTTACAAATTACAAATTAAAAGATCGCGAATTATTTTTCGGTCACAATAAATTTTTTTATAAACGATCATAAATTAAAAATTTTATAAGTCACAATTTATTTATCGATCACAAATTTGTCAAATTAATAGGCCACATATTATTCATTGATGACAAACCACAAATTTTACAACAACTTATTTTATGGTCACAAAATATCTAATTAATTAGTCACAAATTAAATTTCAGTTACAATTTATTAAATTATTGGTCACAACATAGCAATTTTTTAAGTCACGTGTTATTTATTAGTCACAAATTATCTATTTCATTGACGACATATTATTTATTAATCACACATTAACTAATTTATTGGTTTTAATCGACCAAATAATTTGTGACCACCCCCGCCACCACTGTCACAACCTCCCCGCAGCCATNNNNACTGTCACAACCTCCCCGCAGCCATCACCACTACCACCACCTCACCAGCAATGTCATTTGTGAGCATGACCACCATTACAACATCATCAGAATAGTCACTTTACCACAACCACCTCACCACCAACAAATCTGATCCAAAAAGCCAACAACCTACAATTTCCATCACCTCACTACAGTCGTTGCCACCTCTACCATGCCGCCATCATTACCACCACGACCACCACGACATTTTCAACCACCAATACAACCACCATTTCCAACCAACACTCATTCACAAACCTGTTAACCATCATGGTACAAACACCTCTCTGCTACCGTCTATCCAACATCATCACATCAACCAATCACTGCACCAACAACTAGCCAAAGGGTTTCCCCACCACCAGATTCACCCTCGCTCCGTCAACATCGCCTACTATCATCGCCTTTACCGTCATTGCCACCGTAGATCCACCCTCCTTGTCAGCACCTCCACCTGAACCCCCCAACAACACCAAAATATGGAAAACCACCATCACCACTCCAACAACCAAAACCACCTCATCGTTGTCACCAAATCCACCACCACCTGCACCAACCACCTCTAGCACTACCGAACTACAGTAGCGGCAAGGACAAAACTGCTCTGCGATAGCTTCATCATGGCGCTGCAGCAGGGGTGGGTGCTACAACATTGAGCAACGGTCACTGCGTTGTAGTGGCATAAGATCGTCGCCTCAGCATCGTTCAGGTAACCTCAGTAGCGACTGTGGCGTCATGGCAACAACGACGGTGGTCTCCCTTCCCGTGTTTGTGATAGAGAGGCAGTGACGATCTCTCTTCCTGTAGACAGAGAAAAGAGAGAAGAAGAAAAATAATTTAGGGTTAGGGAATGAGAATGGGGATGGGCAGGGGTGGAGGTGGGGGGGTCCTGGGGGGAC